TGGCCCAGTCAGCCAGCTGGTTTCCATAGCAAAGGACTGGCTTTCATACCTAAGACTGGACTACAACTCACAGTCTCCTGGTGATTGGCTCAAAGCTGGTTTCATGGCAAAGGTGGGACTAGAATTTACAATCACTGGAACTAGAGAACATACTAGAACTGACTTGAACTTTCCAGCCTGGTGCCTTAACCACTAGGTCAAACTGGCTCTCCTAGATTATCTTGAGTGCCCAGAAGAAAAATGAAGTGTTTATCAGATAGATAGATAGGTAGAGAGCAGGTAGAGAGTAAGGAAGACGATGCTGTCAGAGATATGCAGCATCAGTCGCATAAGCAAAACAGGTTGAAACATTTTCTTAAACCCAGAATGTCCAGATAACGTGTGGAAATGGTTCCGACAGACACCTCCTTAATTCACTGCGGTATTGGGGGGGGAGCACCTTCAGATCTGCAAGATTCTGTTATTATTATAGTTAAATTTCCCGTAAAAAGCAGTTTTAGCTTCCCTGTGGAATGGATGTCCTGGGATTTCTAAAGAGATCTTTAATATCCTGAGTGGGGCTGACAAGGATGGATTGATGGATGGAGAGATGGGAATTGGCTTGCTGCATGGTCTCCCCTCCCTCTGGTCTCCTTGGGGTTCCTTCGATGGGACCTTTGGAGATCGTGTGGCTCCTTTCAGCATAGGGAAACGGACAGGGATGGGCTTCAGAAATGTTCGTAAAGGTGGGACTACTGGCTTGCAGGGCTTCGGCGACAGGCAGGAATCCGCGATTGTGCGTGGTTTCTGCCTGGGCTCGCTGCTGGAGCGTCCCGAGCCAGCTGGCTTCGGGGCTAAGCCACCCCATAGAGGTGGTGAAGAGTGGGGAGATCCCAGCAGGGTCGAGGAAAGCCGCATCTTTCCTCCCCAGCTGGCTAAACTCCCTTTCCCGAAGGTGGTAAGAGCGGCGGTCAGAAATGGCCGCCTCAAAGAAGCCCTCATCCGGAAAAGAAAGTGCAGGAGGAAGTTAAGAAGTGAAAGTTTTGGCTGACCGGGATAAGAAGCAACAACTAAGGTATCTTGGAATTTAAATTTTATAAAAGATACATTGCTCCCAGAAATGTTAGTAAAGGTTCTCTGCCTGGTTGCTGGGTAGGCGTGGCCATGATGGGCGTGGCCTAGTTGGCCTGTTGCACCACAGCAGGTGTATTTACCCGAACTCCCGGGAGGCCCATTTTTCACCACCCTTGAGCCTCTGCATGCGCTTACCTGCACCCAAGACTCACTTAACGACCGACTTGTTTAGCCATTGAAATGGTCGTAAGTCGAGGACTTCTTGAGGATCCCTTGCCAATAAAGGACCAAGCAACTCTTGTTCTGACGCCCACCAGGATAAGACCCCAGTCTCCTACCTCTAATATTATTTAAGATGCCCGAAGTGTTGAGAGAAGAAGGGCTCCGGGTGAGGACGTCGCCTTCTCCAGCCACCGTGCCGCTCCGTGGCTCCGTCCTCCGGCACTCCTCCGGCGGAATCAGGGGCTCGGCGGGATCGTCCGCCTGTGGTGTCAGCAGCTTTGGCGGCCAGCAGCTCGGGTCTCGTGGCATGAGGAAGGCACTTGGGTCAAAGCTCTCACGAGGAAACTTGACGATTTTTTGGGATTTTATCCAGCGGCCATTGACGAACTGGAAGCGCTTTAAGTGGATGATCTGGAGCGAGACAAGCAAGAGAGGAGTTGGGTGAGGGCTTCCTTGTTGGAAGGAAGGAAGGAAGGAAGGAAGGAAGGGGAGAGGAGAGGAGAGGAGAGGAGAAGGGAAGGGAAGGGAAGGGAAGGGAAGGGAAGGGAAGAGAAGAGAAGAGAAGAGAAGAGAAGAGAAGAGAAGAGAAGAGA